ATTTGGGAGAAAGGATAAGAAAAAGGGAATTGCCATGACATGATGAGACTACTAAGCAAAACGCAATTGTCGCGACAACTCGGACGACATTTCTGGGCAAAAAAAAGTCAAAGAATATATTTTTAGTAAGAGCCAACTGTCATTGACTATGTGTGATTTCTACAATCAGCCATAAAGGAGGGGCCAATTACCATCTTTGCACGACTCTCACATAAAAGGAATGAACTTTAGAGTACTAGTATAATTTTAACACTTCCTCCGTTGACAAGCTAGAGAGAGCGGCGTTGTAGGCATCCGAGAGGAGCTAGTTCGCTGGGACTGTCTGTGGTGGCAGAGGGAAACTCCGGTAGTGCACGTCGAAGGCTTTCCTCATTCCTTTTGCTCTTTGCTTTCATATTTTATCATTTGGGTTGTAAGGAATGGATTAACATGCTTTGTGCTTGCTTATTTCGAGCCCCCATCATGAACTAATCCTATTTGGTGGGAGTTTATTTTGGATATTTAAGTTTTGCTTTAATAAATGATTATTTTTCTATGTTATATTTTGTTTGTTTATGAAGCTTAGTGCCTTAAGGTTGTAGGAGCTACAAGAGTTGTCGTTCCTTAGGAGATTACTTAGTGTTCAAGAGAATGTCTAGGTAGCACATCCTTAGTGTTCGAGAGAAACTAGGGAGGAACCATATAAGCAAGGGGTTCTAGATAGTAATTGGGCCTAACCCACCTTAGAGATAAGGCTAGGATTTTATTCGACTAAAAGGAGTTATCCATAAGTGATAGGTTAGATGTTAATGCTACCGCAAAAAGGTATTACCGAGACATATCCTGTTATCTAGACCAATAGGATCACTGCAGGGGTTTACGCCAACCGGTTTTGCCAAGGCATATTCACTCTGTCGAGTCCCTTACTAGATATAGCATAGGGCACCCTAGTAGACTCTGCCGGGCAGATTAGGCATATAAGTAAGATTATTCTGAGAAGTGGACTTAGATTTTCCTTCGTGACTCCTATCACTCATTCCACTACAGTAAAACTGTTCTGTAGCAACATTTTTAGCGGCGTTTGTAGAGTAAATGCCAGAAAATTTAAACATATAGCGGCGTTTACAATCCAAACGCCACAAAATGATACTTTAGCGGTGTCTGTTTAAAAAATGCCTCTAAAGTACGAGTATTTAATAACTAAAGTAACGTGATACAAAGTTTTTAAAAATTCAAAGAAAAACTTCAGCCTCCTCTCAGGCGCGCCACACTCTCTCTCTCTGTACTTTTTTATATATTCTTCGTCCTTTTCTTTCATCGTCTCTCTGTCTCTCTTCAAATTTCAAAGTATATCGTCTCTCAGATCTATTTCTTCATCACCATCTCTTCTTATTATTTCTCTCACTGTAAGGTTCCATCATTTCTTCCCAATTTTTTTATCCCTTTGTTGACTTCATATGTTTAGATTTGATTGTAATTTTGAAGTTCACCAACGCGGCAAGTTTACAGTTTCTAACCCTTTTTCATTTTTGTTATGGTTAATTACAATTTTGTGCCTAAATCAGAGACTGAAGAAAATCCCTTTTCACAAAATTTCATTCCTCCCCCCATCAAAACAAAACAGTGAGAAAAAATCTCACCGTTTTAGGAACCTGATGGACGGATCAAACGTTATGACGTCCATAGTTATCGACCAGTTATACGAGTTCTCGCGCCATGTTTCTTTGATTTCATGAAAGGAGAATTGGAAGGCGAAGCATGCAATGCCGAGCACTGGTTCGAAACCTCCTTGAGCTACGCTCCTTCCTGTATGTTCTCTCTTTTTTCTCTCTCTTACTATTTTCTCTATAATAGTATCGTTTTGATCCATTATTCTTGGTTTTCTTGGTATTTTTAGGGTTTTGATTTAGTCATTACTTTACTTTGGATTTTAACTCGATTGATTTTAATTGTTTGTTATTGAATTATATTCTAAAAATTATAGGACTCGTGGTTCTCTTAATTGCTTAGATCTGATAGGGAAAGAAAAAAATTGTGATGTAATTAAGCTTCACCGAATTAAGATAGTTTTCAGGGATATTGGGATATTAATCTAATCAACAATTTACCTGTTACCAAGTAAAATTGTTGCATTTTTATCAAGGAGAAAAGTTGAGATTTTTAATTTCCTTTTGGTATTTTTCATAATGCAGCTTTTTTAAAAGAATTGTGGTTTTTTCCAACATTAATCGAGTTCTGTATGAATACTTTGGTTCTCATAATTGTGTCTTTGATTCGATTATGTCGGATTTTCAGTGCCCTAACTGAAAAATCATGTTTAAATTTTCCCGATGATGAAGAGAAAAGCAAATGTATTGTGCAAGTAGAAGCTGAAGCTTGCACCCCTAAACCATTGATGATTTCTCAGAAAAAAACTAGGGAGTGATAAGAAGCATCAGACAGCTAAAAAGATAGCTAGAATGATATGGAACCCCTCGGGTTGAAGATGAAAACCGACAATGTTGGAACTCCTAATATGGCTCTAGAAAACCAAGCCATCAAACGACAGAAACTAGATGGAGGAAGATCTAGACAGGTGCTTTTATGCTCTTCTCCTCAGCATGTTTTAGCTTCTGTGATTTGTAACTTTGATCTGAAGTTTTTTCTCTTTGTTGCTTCCCTTTGTACCTTAGATTCTGAAGTTTTGTCTCTTTGTTGCTTCCTTTTTCATCACTCACATATAAAGCAAGTAAATTTGTCTATTCAACAATCCTATGTGGACTGGTGAGTTTTTATTTATTTTGTAATTTATATATGTTTGAAATTCCTTAAAGTATATTTATTCTTTACCTTCTCATTGTGCTAGAGTCTCATTTTTCCTTTTATAATTTATTGTAGTAACTTATTCAATGGAATTAGAGCTTAGGATCCTTGAGTTGAACTAGTGAATACCAGTAACTTATTTTGCTTGGGGCCTCTAGCTCCGATGTCGATTTTGCTTTCGCTTTCAACGATAGTAATTTTTCCTCTGTTCATCTTAATTTTTTCTTTAGGGATCCATTGAAATTGTTGGCAAGGTTCAGGATATTTTAAGTATGTCCCTACATGTCCAGTAAATGGGTTACAGATAGAGGTAAACTAGCTTCATCATCAAGTATACATATATACATACACGCATACACATACACATACACACACACACCACACACGCACACACACATACACGCACACGCAACACGCATACACGCATACACGCACACACACACACACGCATACACGCACACACACGCATACACGCATACACGTACACACACATACATATATACATACATCTTCTTTCGGGTAACCCCACTGGTTGAGCTTTCAGAAAGAAACAATCTGTATACAGAGCACTGAAACAAGTTCGAGCAGCCTTGGTTTATAACCCTTACTGCATGAATTCAGAATCATGCTTATTGATGGGCAATCATGTAGTAATTAGCTGTCACTTGAATGATGTATTCTACATAAAGTGATGTTAGATAATTTTTTAGTAAATTTAAAAATTGTCCATCTTATTTTTTTTAACCATCTATTCTATTGTTAGCAAGTAAAAATATTATAAATACTAAGCCTCTAAATCATTCTAAAAACACACTCCTCATCCCTCTTGAATTTATTAAGTATCCATGTCAAGAACTTTCATTCATATATGATAAGAGAGATGATATATGTTGCTTCCAGAGATGCTATGGTTTTTAGCATATTATAGGGATACAAAGTCTTGAAAGATGATAGATTTTACAAATTGAAACGTCTAGATTTTGAAAACTTACAAGTTTGCTCTGTATTTTAGTTTCAATTGCTGATCAATTGCCTTATGTAACTAAATCATTTTTCGTTTTGGATTTTGTGAAACTTATTTGCTATGATCCTTCTATTGGTTTATATTATGTTCAGTGGTTTATGAATGCAGATTTCTTCAGTGTTGACAGAGATTTTTGGTTTTAAACTTGTTATAGGAATAAAAATCTTATAAAACCTGAATGTCTAGATTTCAAATATATTATGTGTCGCTATATGGGTTATGGTTTCTGGTACAAAATAGTTGAGGAACCTTCTTTTCACATATACCTATGTCTTAGGTTCGCTTCAATATCTCATAGTTTTACATATTATGCGGATGGGCCGTATTTCTTCTTGGACAACAATTCTAAAAAATATATAAATGAGATATAGATGTAATTTAGCTTAATTTTTTCTAACAGGACCTTTGCTTTTATGATGTGTTAATGTACTATTTTTTGTCATGTAATTTCATTATTTTGCTTGAGCAACTACTTGTAATATTTGTTAAGTACTTGCAGCATTCTTTACATTTTTTGCAAGCTCAATGTGCGAGATAACTCTTCTTCTTATCTTAGTGCAACAGGGAAGAGCAGAGGATCTTGCTCATTAAGAGATTGAGTTAACAACTGCTCATAGTCCAAATAATGGCACTCATTGGGGACAACAGGTCTGAATTACTCAAATCCACACATTTACTTCCAACTATAAGTATGCAATTGTTAAAGCATTTTGGATTAGTTTTGGAATCATGCATTAGAATTTCAGTTCTATAAAGCCTGATCAAGCAATTTTTACTTATCCTTCTGTCTTAATTTATCCATGCATTAATAGTTAGTGCTTTTTTTATATACAAGGCTTTAGTTTGGAAGTGTTCATAGTATAAAGCATGTTCATGTGTATTTGCTTCTTTATTTTCCTAATGATTTTTTTATTGTTTTTTATTGTTGGACATGTTTTTCTCTTTTATCATCCTCTTCATGTTGATGAAGAAAACTAGAAAGCTACTAAATGTACTGAAACTTGTAAAGTTATTGAGATAAACTTTTTTGGTCCTCAAGTATGTGTTATTTCTTTATATATATATATATGAACATAGGTACAATTTTGTCTATTTTCCTTATTTTAAGAATTTTGTCGATTTCCCTTATTTTGTTGTTAAGTATTTTTCTTTTACACATTTTATGATAAAGATGATGTTAACTTATGTGTTCAATACAGTAATTGTGGTCTATCAGTTATTCTATAGAATGGTACTTGGACAGAGCTTTAGTTGGGATGCCATTATTGAATTTCTGGTCAAAGTCTCACTTGGAGCGTAAGTATCCTTCATTTTCAACAACTATAATAGGGGTAAAGATGTGTAACAAATAAATAATTAAAGGGAACTTTATTACAGGCAAGTCCTCTTTGAGAAAGTAGACCTTGCATGCCTTCAAGCTTGAACTAATCAACCACTCATTCTATAACAACCATTTTTAGAAATTATATCTAATTATAAGGCTCTTCTCAGTTTCAGTGTGGGCAGCGGTGGGCGTAGTCCAGAAGGTTGCAAGAGATCATCCTTCGCTTATGCTTTCCATTAAGAAATGTCCAATAACTTTGAAAATGGTTGCAGACAAAGAAAAATGGGAGGAGTTGCAGAAGTTGAATCTCCAAGAAAATTTGGAATGGCTTTTAGGTTAGGAATCTAGCCAAATGGCATTTGTAGCTTATATTATATGCATACTAATTTATTTTTATTTCCATATGTGGACTTTAACTCAATATTTTTGAAGTAATGAACATCAAAGCTACATTACATTTAATTTAATGTTTATAAATTTTAATTTATTTGTTGTTAAAATTTATGGTTGTTGTTAATTATATAAAGTAACATGATATTAAATTTAGGTGATGTGTAGAAAAAATGAAATATGCAAAATATCAATTACTATTAGCTAAAGAATGGTATTAGCGGCGTTTGTATTAAAAAACGCCACTAGATATCTGACCTTTTACGGCGTTTGTATCAAAAACGACGCTATTTATCTAACCTTTTGCGGTGTTTGTGTCCAAAAATGTCGTTATTTATCTAACCTTTTACGACGTTTGTTCCAAAAACGCCGCTATAGATCTGACCTTTTGCAACGTTTGTACCCAAAAAGTGCCGCTATAGATCTCGACCTTTTGCGACGTTTGTTCCAAAAAACGTAGCTATAGATCTCGACCTTTTGCGGCGCTTCTTTTGGCGTTTGTTTTTAGCGGCGCTTCTTGTGGCATTTTTCCAATCGCTGCAAGCACTTTTAGCAGCGGTTACAAATGCCGCTATAGGACTAAAAAACGCCGTTAAAACCCTATTTTGATGTAGTGTTCCCATAGTAGCTTGTCATGTGAGGAAATCTAAAGTCCTGATAATCAAATCCAGTATTTACATTTTATATTGACTTTGCATTTCTATTTGTTTGCACTAAACACAATTTAATTTGTCACGATATCTCCATCTATTTTGCCACAACATTCTCATTTGTGAATATCATTAGCTATACTTAGTTACTTTAGAATAGTGCATAAACTTTACTCAAGATCTCTCTAATCCCTGTGGATATGATACTCACTCATCACTGTATTACTTGTTCGATTGTGTATACTTGCACATATTTTCGCACCCATATTTAGTACTCATAATTTGTGGACAAGTTTTTGGCGTCGTTACTGGGAATTGGCAATTGACGATGTTGAGTTTAGTTGTTGCACCATTTTATTTCTTCTCATTGTACATATTTACTTGTTTTTGTGTTTACCTTTCTCAGGTGTTACGTTGTCGCATGACCCGTAAAAGACCCAAAGAACCATTATTTCATATTGAACCGGAGGCTCATGTTGTTTAAAATCAGGTGAATGATCCTGCAGTTCTAAATGTCATGACAATTCCAAATGTTGGGAATGCTGCTCGACCACGCACTATTAGAGATCACTTAGCTCCCACCTTGGACGACCTAAAACCTGCTATTGTAGCTCCCAAGATTCAGTTAACCCAATTCGAGCTCAAACCGGTTATGTTCGACATGTTGGACTTGATTGGACAATTTGGTGGTGTTCCTCATGAGGATGCAAGGCAACATGTTCGGGCATTTTTAGAGGTCTGTGACTCCTTTTGATTACAAGGTGTGTATGAAGATGTGCTGAAATTGAAGTTATTTTTGTATTCTTTGAAAGATCACGCCAGGGCATGGCTCAATGGATTACCTTCCGGCTTTATAAGGTCTTGGACTACTTGTGCAAAAACGTTTTGCTATGGCATAATCAACCCAATATGAATAACAATCTTAGAAATGTCATAGCATCTTTTCACCAAGGCAATGAAGAGTCTATGTATGAGTGTTGAGATCAATACAAAAGTTTGCTTCACAGTACCCCATCATGGATTCCACGACTGGATTCAAGTTGTGATGTTCTACAATGGAGTCAATGCACCCACGAGGATGATGCTAGATGTCTTGACAAATGGAACATTGCTCGACAAATCACCTGAAGAGGCTTTTAAAATTCTTGATCGAATTGCTAACCATGATTACCAATTTCCCTATTCAAGGTAAAGGATGATGCTAGATGCCTCGACAAATGCATCCAACTCAGCATGTCTATTATGCCATGGAAATCACCATGAGAGCAAGTGTTCGAATAATCAGGAGTCTATAAACTATGTAGAGAACTATAATCGAGGTAATAACAACCCTATTCTAATAATCTTGGATGATGTCAGTGTCCAAACTTCTCTTGGGGAAATCAAGGAACCAACAATGCTAGTCAGCCCGCTAGGCATCAAAACTTCAATGACTCCCAGTTTTTTCAAAAATGCCATGGCGTAATTCTAACGAGTGAGTGCAATCTTCATCCAACACAAGTTCTTTGGAGGCCACAATGTAAGATTTTATAGCAACCACGAAGACCATGTTGCATGATCATGCGACCTCTATAAAAAGCCAAGAAGCTTTGCTTCAAAGTCACAGCTCGTCTTTAAGGGCCTTGAGGGTCAGGTTGGCCAAATTGGCACGACATTATAGTCTCGCCTACATGGCAGTCTACCTAGTGATACTGAAGTCACTAAGGGTCAAGACAGAGAACATTGTGGTAAATTCACCTTAAGGAGTGGCACTAAGTTTAGGGGGGAGACACTCAGAGAGCCTGGTAATAAGATTATGCACGAAGATCTGAAGGTGCAAAAAGCTTCACATTTTCTGGAAAACAATGATGAGGGTCGAAGAGCAAACCAATAAAGATAAGAAAAATTTTACCACGGCAAAAGAAAAGCCCCAATCAATAAAAGTTGATGACCAAAGGAAAGCTGCAAAATTTTTCCGCAACAAATTTTTATGCACTGATAATCACTTGAAGCTTGATGAAGAAGACGAAGAGGAGCTCGATGATATTCAAAAGGAGATGAGTCAGTCTAGCTCACCCATAGCTAGACCAGGTATGAAATTTGAACCTTTGGATTCTATTGAATTTACTCATCCCAAACCCCAAGTAACTGTCCATCTGTCTAGACTAGAAATTATAAAAGAATTAAGGAATGGAATAGAGATTAAGAAAAATTCCCTAATGAGAAATTATTATTTGCTGCGACAATTTTGTGGTATGCTAACATTGTCAATTTTCTCGTTAGTGTTGTTTTGTTTCCTTACTTGAATAGCATAGGAAAGAACAAGGCCATACACGATAGTGGCTACTGTCATAGGGATAACTTCGACATCTTCAACGAATTTGCTTCCCAAATGATTACAAGTTGCCACGACAAAAATAACGAAAAGATATCTCACTCCACTACCATTCAGCTTCAGGCAAAGAGCACTTTGAAGAAGAGAGGACTACTGATAAGGTCCTACAATTCAGATGTGAAAGACACAAAATGTCAGGGAAAATTACTTTGAAGGTGGAACTGTTATATGTGTGGGGCATTTTGGTTTATACTGGTGCACCAATCGAACGCGACAAATTTGCACTCATCTTGCACGATATCGAGACTTGCCAAGCATCTTGAAGATACCGTTACATTTTGGATTTACTCTTGTGCATAAATAAATGTTTATTTTGTTACTGTTTTTATTCAGTTTCCTTTTAATTGAATATTTTATTTTTCTTTGCAAGGTTAGGGTCCATCCAAATTTCAATCGTACCAGCATCAGATTCTAAACACTCCAGCTCCACACAATTTCAAAAGTGTACACGTCGCACGACCGCCGCATCACCACAAGCATGAAGTCAATGTACCTTGTATTGCATTGAATTTCATAGCATGTAGTTTAGATTTTCCTTAGTTTTTATTTAGCATTGAGGATAATGCTTCTCTCAAGTTTGGGGGAGGTAGAGTTATTAAATCACTGCATGATAGTATTAGTATAATGAATATGCCATGACATTAGTAAGTGGTTGAATTGGTTTTCTGTAATAAATTAAGGATGCCCGATGATGATGAATTCTTGATAGCTAGGATTGAATGTACATGACTGTTGAGGATGATAGAATCAACTCTAGGACTTGCTTCTTTGAAACCTTTGAATACAAGATTGTATGTTTTTCATGCAAGATTGTATGTTTTTCATGCTTAAGGAACTTAGAAATTTTTTATAAGAGAACTCTTGCATGTCTTGGCATAAATGATGAAAACCCCACTTTGTAAAAAAAGAAAAAAATAAAGTTGTGAATAAATGCTTCGCCATATCTATAGAGGGACACTCCGCTATGCCATGGCATTGCCTGGAAACTGCATTTAAATAAATGGTAGCTATGATATATGAGTGAATGAAAGTAGTCACGAGATGACTCTACTTGACTAGGTCGGGGGTGGAAGGTATGCTCCCTTTCACCTAGAGTGTGGGATGGTAGGTGTGATGGGCTGACGCCCCTCGTAGAAGTGTTAAAAAAAGGAAAAGAAAACAATGTGGGAGTAAAAATTGTAAATGTCGTGGCAAAACAAGAAAACTTGCTTAGAAAATTTTTAGGTTTGTTTAGTATGGACTGGATACAAACACGCACACACCCACACAAAGAATCTTGCCATAGAGGACAATACTTGATTTCTCAAACTAGTCTAGCATGTTAAAGCCAAGTGTGCTGAGGGCTAAAATTTTATCCTATACAACTATTCTGCTTTTGAACTTGCCATGGTATTTTTATTTTGCTTAATATTATACATTGCTTGAGGACAAGCAATAGCTTAAGTTTGGGGGTGTGATAACTCCGTAAAAAGATCATATTTGAGACCTTTTCACTTAAGTTATTGATTGTCTAAAAGCCTATTTAGGATCATATAGATGCATTTAGGAGCGTATAGTTGCATGTGGTGGAATTTTGTTTTTTGCGGTATTTTATTTTGTAATCAGTGTTACTTTATGGGGAAGATGTTTTGTTTGATGATGTGCAAGATTTGGGAGCAAGGATAAGCAAAAGGAAATTGCCATGACATTATGAGACTACTGAGCAAAATGCGATTGTCGCGACAACTCAGACGACATTTCTGGGTAGAAAAGATCAAAGAAGATATTTTTAGTAAGAGCTAGATGTCATTGACTATGTGTGATTTCTACAATCAGCTATAAAGGAGGGGCCAATTACCATCTTTGCACCGACTCTCACATAAAAGGAATGAACTTTAGGGTACTAGTGTAATTTTAACACAAAACCCTAGGTTCATTCTCCCCTATAAATAAGAGATGAAGCCTAACTTTTTAGGGAGACTTCAAACTTTTTGACCAGCCGCCAAGAGCTAAAAATTCAAAGAAAAAGATCTATCCTTTTTCTGTCAATCACTTTTTCCATGGCATTTCTCCGTTGACAAGCTAGAGGGAGTGGCGTTCTAGGTGTCTGAGAGGAGCTAGTTCACTGGGACTGTCTGTGGTGGCCGAGGGAAACTCTGGTAGTGCACGTCGAAGGCTTTTCCTCCTTCTTTTTGCTCTTTGCTTTCATATTTTATCGTTTGGGTTGTAAGGAATGGATTAACTTGCTTCGTGCTTGTTTATTTCAAACCCCCACCATGAACTAATCCTATTTGGTGGGAGTTTATTTGGGATATTTAAGTTTTGCTTTAATGAATGATTATTTTTCTATGTTATATTTTGTTTTGTTTATGAAGCTTAGTACCTTAAGGTTGTATGAGCTACAAGAGTAGTCGTTCCTTAGGATATTACTTAGTGTGCGAGAGAATGTCTAGGTAGCACATCCTTAGTGTTCGAGAAAAACTAGGGAGAAACCATATAAGCAAGGGGTTCTAGATAGTAACTAGGCCTAATCCACCTTAAAGATAAGGCTAGGATTTCATTCGACTAAAAGGAGTTGTGCATGAGCAATAGGTTAGATGTTAATGCTGCCGCAAAAAGGTATTGCCGAGACATATCTTGTTATTTGGACCAATAGGATCACTGCAGGGGTTTACGCCAACCGGTTTTGCCAAGGAATCTTCACTCTGTCGAGTCCCTTACTAGAGATAGCATAGGGCACCCTAGTAGACTCTATTGGGAAGATTAGGCATAGAATTAATATTATTCTGAGAAGTAAACTTAGATTTTCCTTAGTGACTCCTATCACTCATTCTCATAGTAGCTTGTCGTGTGAGGAAGTCTAAAGTCCTAATAATCAAATCCAGTATTTACATTTTATATTGCCTTTGTATTTCCATTTGTTTGCACTAAACACAATTTAATTTGTCACGACATCTCCATCCATTTTGCCACAGCATTCTCATTTGTGAATATCATTAGCTATACTTAGTTACTTTAGAATAGTGCATAAACTTTACTTAAGATCTCTCCAATCCATATGGATGCGATACTCACTCATCATTGCATTACTTGTTCGATTGTGTATACTTGCACATAATTTCGTACCCATATTTAGTACTCACAATTTGCGGATAATGTCCCTTTCTCTTTATAGAACTTGTATCTTCTTCTTCTCTTCTTCCTTCATTTTCTTATTCACCAAATCATAGCAAAGGTTTAGACTTTCTAAATTCCAAGTCTTGTTCAGAATTTTCAAGGTAAAATTCGAAATCTAACAACCCTAAGCTTCATTTTGTACTTTTAAAATCAAGGTTACTCTATAATATTTGAAAATAGGTTTTATGAGATTGAGAAGCCTAAGGGTGTTAAACCATTTTCAAATATTTATAGGTTTTATAACTGTTCTTCAAACCCTGTAAACCATTAAATTCAGCTAGTAACTCAAGTTTTGATTTTTATCTAGTGAAAGAGCTTGGAGAAAGCTATAAGGCTAAGGAGAATGAAAAACTCATTGTGGGTTCAACTTTGAACGTTATAGCATCAAAGTTTAGAAAAGTAACCCACTTCTAACTCAGTTATACTATGTGTAGGTCATTTAGATGAAATGTGGTAGGTTGCATGAGCTTGAAGTATTTCCATGGTAGATTCACGATTTGAGTTTTTCAGCAAAGTTTTCAGACCTATTTATGACCCCAATATCAAATAAAATACTTAAACACCAATTGAAGACCTAACTAGGGTTTTAGGGTTGAAAGATATGACCTTTTAAACCAAACCATGGCTTTTCGCAGCTGAAGTATCGATATTGTTCTTCAGTCAAGCTTAAAAATAAGTAATTTTAAAAGGGGGTATTAGTACACGTTCATAAAGTATCAATATTGGGGTCCCAGTATTGATACAGATTGGATTGGTATCGAGACTCATATTTCATAATGCAAATTTGGTATTGATACTCACATAAACTACTGATACCAAGATATGGATACATATACTTCAAAATGTGGTATTTATACTAGGATTATTTTTGAAACATCAAACCTAAATTTAGTATTGACACTCAGTTTAGAAATGATACCCAAAGCCAGAGTATTGATACTCAACATATATTATTGATACTACCTTAATTAAATAGCCTATGTCAGTCGGCGGGTATCGATACCAACAAGTGTGTATCGATACTAAGGGAATTAGTATCGATACTAAGTACCCAATATCGGTATTGACAATCATTTTTAGATAAACAAACTAAGACATATTATACCAGATCTGAGGTACCCTAAATTCTTCAAAATAACAACAAATAAGACTTCAAGAGAAAACAATAATTAATATTCGAATAGTGGAAATAGTAAAAGCTAAGAACACATAAAATGAGCCTTGTTTGATGCTAAAAAAATAGTTAGGACACCCGAGTTACTCATAGCAGAAATACGACAGTCAGTGAATATCCAAGCCAGTGCCAGAGCACTTCAACAGCCGAGTAGGTGCAAATACCCCAAGACTCGACGGAGTAAATCAGTGGGGTGTTCATTTTTTTTATGTAGCTTCGAACCTTACCCCAACTACCCAAGGGGCTGGTATACGTTTCTGATGCAACTTCAGAACTCACCAGGACACCCAAGGGTATTTTGATAAGCTAAAGGGCATATGAGCTCCGATATGCAGCCCCTCAACAATACCAAGATGTCTGGCACCGCTTAATAGTTCAGTATTCAACATGCACAAACATGTGCCGCCATTATTTTCTTTAAATAAATATATATAGTATATTATAGTTATTAGTGAGGCACTGAGCTCGTAATTTCAACGTTCGGAATGTGTTTTTGTGCGTAGGTTTTTAGGGGTAGTTTGAGGGGAGTTATCATCACCAGATATTCATGTACAGCGGACTA